ACGTAACTTAACGTAAACAATGATAACATATTATATGTAACGGATAAAATCCGACAAACATTCTGATATATTTTCTGTTTATACATTATTTTTATGGATACAACTTATTCGAGTAAGTGTTCTGTTTTTAATTAAACAGTATTAATTACAGTTACCGGCCTGAATGGAATGCATTTAATGGATTCTAAAACAGACAGAAAGATAGAGGGCAATAGAGAGAGAGAGAGAGAGAGAGAGAGAGAGAGAGAAAAGAACAAACGAATGAAAGAGAAAATGATTAATTGATGAGACGAAATAAATGTAGCAAACTGAATAAAAATGTGCAAAAATAGATTATTGAGTAGAATTCACTCTGAATTAAAAAAAATGTGTTGGGTTTGATCACAATAGTCTAAGCTCAATAAGTCGCCTTTTTTATAAGAAAAACACAATGCAGTAGGTTTTGGAAATACAGACAGAAAACATTCTTCGTGTCATGTGACAAAATGTGTTGAATAGAAAGGAAAATCTGTCAAATGATGAAGGCGTTTGTTTCTTCTCGATCTAAGTGATAGTCATGCAAAAAATAGAAAATTAACAAAGTTGATTATTTTGCCTATGATCAATAAAGAACAAGGCTCTAAAGATGATTGAATATAGGTTGTAATAAAACGAAAAATAGCTCATCGATCCACGCTGAATTTTGGTGAAAGCTATCACATTTGACAACGTGGATTGATGTACGTCTTTTTTTTTTTTTAGAGAAAATTAACTCCACGTCAAAAGAGGATCCATTACAAATTTTACTATTTAACTTATTTTTGTGTTCAATTTTAAAACGATAATCGTGTTTGATTTGGTTTAGCATGAACAACTACATCTACTTTTGTTTAGTAAAACTTGACATGGACTTATTGAAAGCATAGGTGAACTCATAATAACCTATCTCTATAAGGTAACGCCAATCTCGAGTTCTTTCTGCCTCCATATTCTATAAACATCATTGGTCTGCTCTGTCTCTTCAAGACATAGACGGTCGTGCTTTGTAGTTCTTAGCCATATTTAATCTTTTAATATCCATTCCATTCACTGGTCTGCTATCCGTTTATATAAGATTCTTGGTGTTTCCTTCTGTACCTCTTGCCTTCAGTATGTCCTGTGAATATCATATTTTCCAAAACTTCTTTCCTCATTGTCTATCAACTATTTCTTTCTGATTCAAAGTAACCTTTTTTTATTATTTTCTTTAAAACTTCAGTATGGCTTCCATACAGAACATTCTACATACAACCTAATCACTTTAGTTTTAGCGTTAAAATCAGAAATGATACTTTACGGGATTTCAAGCGTATATCATTTCTGTCACGATATCGTGGAAATATATTATATTTAGTGAGGCATAATCTATACTCATCGCCTAGAAAATTAATTCGATCCTTACTAAACATAGGCTCTAAATACTAGAATTGTGTAGCATTTTGTTATCTTCTCCATTACGTCATTTCTACATAAAGAATGACTTTGTATTAGCCAATGACATTTACTTAAACTCGAAAGCCAACTATGAGAAACGATAAATGATAAATGACATATAAGTAAAAGGCTACTAAATATATACACGACAGCGATGTTATAAGGAAGAATAAATATTTAAAAGTATTTAGCAAAAGTCGGCCCGTAGTAAAGTAGCCGAGAAGATTGGCTGGCTGAAGTTAAATGTATTTTATCATTGTACTTCGGCCAGTCTATCTTCTCGGCTACAAATACGCTATTTGTTTAAACACTTAATTGAGAAACAATATTTCATCTGAAAATCTCAAATATTAAAGAAGATTACTTTTGTAGCATAAATCATCAATTCTTTAGCCATAAGCCACTTTGCAAGACGTGACATGAGAACAATTTTATTAATTGGACTTGACTTTGTCTGATCATTTTCTATTTATAATATTGTTTTTTTACTTCATTATTTAATATGCCTTCAGAGGAAGCAAAGAAAACACAGTCGGAAGTTATATGCTTCTTGTAGATTTTTTCTTAAAAATGTGTTTTTTTTCTATTCACCAGACGACATCACGTTTTTTTCTGTTTCGTTCGTGAACTAGTCTGGCATCAAGAGAAGTTGCACTGGGAAAACTGTTGGCTGATATGTTAAACAATTTTATGTGTTTGAAAGAATAGAAGACTTTATTTTCGATGTCTGATGACCTATTTTTCCACAACTTCATTCTGTTATATTAAAAATTTGTCTTTTCATTGAAAATGTGTCTTTATATTAAAATATCTTAATCGTTTTTTTTTTTTTTTTTTTTAGATTATGATTAAGATTCTATTTTAGCTTCTGTTATATCATCAAGCACAAGTATTTCTATGTCCAGAATATTAGTCTGTTGTAGAGTAGTTTGGTGAAAAAACAATGTCATTAAATAACATGAATGATCCCTTTAGCTTAATAAAACAATATCATCAAATAACTTGAATGATCACTTTCGGATAAATAAAATAACAAATTACAAAATTTGACAAATGTGTCTTGTCATTACACGCATCCAATATAGGAACTTGCGTTTGAATATGTACGCATGTTATACACACACACACACACGCAGACACACACACACGCATATATATATATATGTATGTATATATGTATAACAAATTTAAAATTGTGAATGATTAATTGATGAGAGGACAATTTTTTTATTTTATTTTCTCTCATCAATTAATCATTCAGAATTTTAAATTTATTAGATATTTTGAACACTCCCGATTAAAAAAAAAACCTGGAAGAACTTGGTCAAAACCTGTTGTTTTTCTTCTTTTATTTCTCATTATACCGAGTCATGTTAAATCAAATGTTTTTAAAACAATACTCAAGTTCTGTACTGCTAAAATGTATTTTAATATTTTAAATTGAGGTACAGTTCTGATTTAATTAGCAAATTAAATAAAATATTACAAATTAGAGAAAAAATTGAGACCGTTGAGGACTAATACTGTGTTTTTATGTATATATATATATATATATATATATATATATATATATATATATATATATATATGTGTGTGTGTGTGTGTGTGTGTGTGTGTGTGTGTGTGTGTGTGTGTGTTTAATCTTGCTTTGATTGTAAGATCATCCACGGTTAATCTGCGTCCACGTTCTTACAAATTGCCATCTTTCTTGGCAGCTCTTCTATTATCTAAATGCAGACTACTAAATAATAAAAAGTGATAAAAACAAAAACAAAAACAAAAACTGACGTAATCTGAATGCAAAAAAAAACAAAAAGGTTTGACGATATCTCAGGACGTATTTAAAAAAAAATCAAATTCAAAATTTCCCCATTTTCAGCGTTCCCTATTTTCGCATAACCAACACTTGTACTTTTTTATATCTCCAATTTCATTCTTATATATATATATATATATATAATTCCATCACTAAAAACTTTACTGTAGTCGGATGAAGTCCTTCGAGGAGGAAATTCATTACATTGCATTCTTCCACTTTGTCACTCATTTGCCTAACATTGTTCTGATATATAAAAAATGTATATAATATATATCATATATGTATTTGTGTGTGTGTGTGTGTGTAGGAAATAACACATAGTGATTGTTGGTAGTAAGAATAAAACAGTGATGTAAACTAACAGAGCTAAAATTTATATTACGAATTACATCTGTTCCCTTAAGATGGAAGACGTGAAAAATATATTTCTCGGCTACAAATCACATTGATTTGTCTGCCGATATATTTACACAATTTAATTTCCTGTTAAAATTTACAACATATTATGCAGCAGGGTTGACATGGTAATGAATCTTCTGTAGATTTTTTTCAGTAATCTTATGAAATCTTCACGTAAAGTCAGTGTAACGTCAAGCTACAAACAATGGTAAAAAACATATATATATATATATATATATATATATATATATATATATATATGGTACGAAATATATATCTTTTAAAAAATAGTAGCTAATACCGCTATTAACGCTTTTCTCTTCAACCGAATTGAATTGAGCTCTCCGGTCTACTGACGTGTTTCGCATAGAAAACGTTAAAATTTTTCTTCCTCGACGATAGCCTAAGGGTAGAATCTCTGACTGATATTTAGATCCCGGCTTGAAGCAATCGGACGTCTAATCACACCGAAGAGCTGTGATACAGCGAAACAGTCTGTCTGTGGATGACAATATATATATATATATATATATATATATATATATATATATATATATATATATATAGATACATGTATATTATTGATGTTGGGATTTTTGTGCTATTAGCATAACAGGAAAAACACAAGAAATCCGACAAATATTTGCCAATAGCAGAAAGTTGGGATATCATATAAGCTGGAAAAATGACTACAAATATTAGAAGCATTAACGATAAAAAACAAAACAGCATCAATAAAATTATATGAAATTTAGTAATAAACATAAGAAATATATTTCAATAAAATAACGAACGATGATATGATTCCGGTGATTAGGCAGAAGCGCGATATTTGAAAATGTTTAAACCGACTGAGTGTATCAAAAGCGAAACTTTTTGATAATGGATGACGATAGCAAAAAGTAATCAGGCATTGGACAATTTATATCTAAATATGTACCAGAAACTAAGAAAATGATCCAAAATATAGAAAAAATAAGTATAAAAAATCCTCAACAAATAACTTTTCTTTGGTCTTTAAACAAACTTGTATAGATGAAAAATTACATCTGAAATATATTACACACACACACACGCACGCACACACACACACACATATATATATATATATATATATATATATATATATATATATATGAAGAGTTGAAAAGTTCACGGAATGACCTACTTGTCTAAATCAGCATTTTATCGACCAAACACCAGAATAGTGATTTAAGGAAATGTGTCGGGACGTATGTATGTATTAAGAGGGAATACAAATATTGAATAGACATTGGCTATTCATCACATTTCACTAAGGCACTCAGCTCATTTTGTTTTCCTGAAGACGATGCCAAATCTTTCAAAATCTAATTGTCCCCTGGCTGTGCGCGTCCGACCTTTTCTTTCAGCGTCCAATAATGAAGTTGTTTTTATTTTTCGTGTCAGGAATGAATTGTACGTGCAGAACTGATGACGTCCTTTATAATCTCTTTCTCTTTTCTTATTTCTTCTTAATGTCGAGCTGCAAAACGATGTAAGTAAACACAACCAACAAAAACCCTTTTATTATATTGGATTCTGAACATTATCTTCGTTTGTCAAAATTGTCAGTTAATTTTCTTTTTACCTTCTTCTTTCAAAATCTATCTATCTATCTATCTATCTATCTATCTATCTATCTATCTATCTATCTGTTGTAACCTAGAGAGAGGTTACTGAATAGAATTATCAAATGAAGGTTAGAAGTGAACGATAATACTTAGGACAAGAACAACACATATAAGATTCACCAGCGGCGCGTAAAAGTAGTAGTCAACTGCTAGAAGTGAGTCAAGTGAATTCCACAAGGAATCTCCAATTGCATGATATCTACTAACCGCCACACGCGGTCAGATGTGGCATAAGGCCGAATTTAATGTGGGGTATCCGAGCCCGTAGGCTCGGCCAAAAATTTCATGTAGACCCGTATAAAATGTGGTCGGGTAGCTGTTTCCCGAGACGAGACTCTGCTCTTCGACATAGCCTCATCTGGAGATCCTCTCTACCCGGAGGTAGAGAGTTTGATCAGCACAGCTGGAGACGAATCTCCAACTGCAGTACAACATACAGTATTTACTATTGTATTTATGTGAATGGGTCCCTACCCATTATCATCCGTAGGTATGCTACAACACTATCTATCTATCTATGTTTATATATACATACATATATATATATATATATATATATATATATATATATATATATATATATATATATATATATATATATCCAGCTAAACTATCTCTTTGTCCAAGTCAAGTCAGTTCATATCTATCCATCTGATGCGCTTCAGCATAGCGTTATACAAGGTTCGATAATAAATAACATGACAAAAGTTTGTACGTAAAATCAAACAAATCGATCTATCTATCTATCTATCTATCTATCTATCTATCTATCTATCCAGATTCTTGAATGTTGAAAAGGAGGAATGGCATATGCAACTGTGAGGACCCCATGGAGATAACCACGATGACGCACTTCAAGTACATGATGTCTGCGATGGTCCTGTTGTTATATAACGTGTTTCATGACATACCACCATGACAAGAATCAATGACACCTTTTACATTCAGGTAGACAACTTACATTACAAATTAAAAACCCTATGCAGAGATATTAAATGGAAACTCATATGACGTCCAGACTTAATTTAAAACTTATACACTACGCAACTATCAAAAACAAAAACTGGATCCCTTAGATTGCAACTCAAATTCGCTACTGACATTAATAAAGGAAACCTGATTGACACGATAGTTAGGTACCACAAAATGAAGGACGCGACAATGGGTAGAAAAGACGAAACTACTCACCACGGATGTTTGTTAAAGCACTTGATAAAGGGAAAAAGCAAAAATATCTCTATTAAAACACCTGATAAAGGGAAGGTGTTGTCTCATTGGATATCCACACTTATAATGATTAAAAAAAAAGGAACTCTTCCTCGGGGGATCTAAATACTCATGAGAAAATTCAAGAACTTAATATTTTAACTGAGACACAAAAATTCAATAAATTCATCAAAACTTTTGGTACCAAGGGAGAGAAATTATAGGTGAAGCTGACAGAATGCCACCGAAGCAAATCCAAGTTTTATGGCCTACCCAAAAGACACAAACCAGGTACCCCATTGCACATTAGGGTGTCAGGGATAAAACACCGCGCACCAAAAATTAACAAAAGCCACAGCAACCAACAAGTTCAGGACACATTAAAAATTTCGGCGATCTCATCAATAGACTAAAACCCTCAGATATAACAAATAAAAACATGCTTATCTTAGATATGAAATCCCTATATACACATATACCCGTCACTAAATACCTAAGATTTTTACAAATGCATTTTTAAAAAGTCAAAAATTAAATTCTTATTAATAACGGACAAAATTATAAGAGTATGTCTTCTCATTACAAATCAATGTTATTTCACTTTAAACGCGAATTTTTATTGACAGAAAGTTGGCCTACAGATGGTCTCACCGCTTAGCGGAATACTGGTATTCCTCTTCCTATAATCTTTTAAAATCCGGCCTCTTTAAGCGTATTATCCCAAAAGACGCGAGATATTTCCAATACATTGAAGATGCTCTATTAATATATCCACATGGCACAACTACAAGAACTTGTTGACAGATTAAACAGGATAGAGCATACAATCGATTTCGCCAACAAAACAAGTAAACTAAACTTTACCACGTCTCGGCATCATGTTAATATGCGCACACATGGATATACAACTAAAGATCAATCGAAAATAAACGAATAATAATAATAATCTTATACAGTTTTACTCTTATCATGACAATAAATTAAAACCCGGAGTAATCATAGGCTTATATTTAAGAGTTATTAGAATCTGTTGCCGCCAATTCAAACTTCTACAATACCAGAACTGTTTTCTGTACAACGCCAAACGCGAAGCCTACAAAATCCACAGAAGAAAATGTAAAATCCACAGATAATAATACGCCAAACAACCCTAACAGAAAATAAGAACGCCTAGCCACAGTGAAGAGCTGTGATAGTGAAACAGTCTGTCTGTGGATGATTATATATATATATATATATATATATATATATATGAAGAAGTATACTCTTAAGGTGCGCTATATTTACGGGATAAAGTGCTCAATATTATAGATTGAGCGTGTGTAAATTTAAAAGGAAACATTGAAGTCAACACTCAGAGGCGACAGGCTGTTTCATGCTAGACGCAATCGTCAGGCCACCTGAAAATAACCAAACACTTTCTGCATGTCAAATCTGATGAGGTAATTTAATTTATTGCCCCTCTTATCCTCAGAAATACAAACGCATTTTCCTTACAAGTAGTTTTGTCTTTTATTTCGATCTGAAGAACTTGAGATGTCGACGAAACGCGTCGTCTATAAGCTTTTCCTCCTTTGTCTCTTTTTCACCATTTTTGTTTCAGATAATATTATACACCCCACCCCCACACATAATAATATACATGCAATAAGAGTGTTTTTCAGACATTGACCATTTCTTTTATAAACACGCTTGCGAGAAAAATATCCTCTTAACATTTTGCAAATAATAATCCAATTCTCAATAAAAAAAAAAACAAACAACCACAAATGCAGCCACAAGAAATTCTGAAAAATGTCATCCAAATGAACAAAAAAAATCTTACAATGCTAAAATTTTTAAAAAATCCTTAAAAGGCCGACACAAAATCTTAAGCTGACAAAATAAAATAATTACAATAAAGCCAGACCATCCATGTCTGTCGTTAGATTTCGATAGTTCAGGTTACATGATAATAAAATTCAAAAGGAAGGAGATTGAATTGCACCACTTTGATGTTAAATTTTATGTTTCCTTGTAAAAAAAACCAGCGTGTAAAAATTAAGTCATTATCCTTAAATTATATAAATAAACATTTAAACACGTCTTGGCGGAATTTCAACTTTTAATTCAATATTTTTTATCAATTTTTATATTTTATTTTCCCTTTTATTTTAGTTTAAATCATTTTTGATTTCTTCCTTTCCATTCTCGTTCGCCCTGAAAACGAAAGCTATCTAGATTGATGACAATGATACATAGACTTTGCGTATTTATATTTGCAAAACCCAAATATTGGTTACTTGGGATTCAAAATTTCCACTCAGTTTCCGTTGCCAGACAAAATCTACTTCCTCTTAATATTTGCATTTAGAAGATTGATATTTAATTTGCTCTCGTAAAACAAATTCCCTCAGTTTAGAGTGATTAAATGGTTAGAACGTTCCGACCATGGGATCTAGGTTCGAATCTCACCATGGTCGATTATTCCGAGGAAGACGATCTCTTCGCACGGCACTAAAACCATGCGACGAGATGAACCATTTGGTTAGACGAAACTGTTTGTAAGTAGTCAATGCTTAGGCTACTATATAGGAATAAGTAGTCAATGTTTAGGCTAGTACATAGGAATAAGTAGTTAATGGTTAGGCTAGTGCATAGGAATAAGTAGTCAATGTTTAGGCTATTACATACGAATAAGTAGTCAATTGTTAGGCTAGTACATAAGAATAAGTAGTCAATGGTTAGGCTAGTGCATAGGAATAAGTAGTAATGGTTAGGATAGTACATACGAATAAGTGTCAATGGTTAGGCTATTACATACGAATAAGTAGTCAATGGTTAGGCTAGTAGGTAGGAATAACTAGTCAATGTTTAAGCTAGTACGTAGGAATAAGTAGTAATGGTTAGGCTAGTACATAGGAATAAGTAGTCAATGGTTAGACTAGTACTTAGGAATAAGTAGTAATGATTATGCTAGTACATAGGAATAAGTAGTCAACTAAAGGAGAGTTAGAAGTTCTTTAGCTTTTGTTGGCAAACTATCTAGAGATGGTGTCTTAATAAAACTTCACCAATTTGTCCATATGAGAGACGGTAGTTATCAAAATATAGCAAACAAAAATATTAAAAGACACAAAGTGGTTCACAATCTGACGCGATAATGTAACCAACCATGAAATTTAACTTATTAAATTGACAGAGTAAAAGAAACATATAGACATATAGATTAGGTTGAATAGCTTGAAGTCGATTTATACAGTGGAGTGACAGACAGACGGACAGAGAGACAGGACAGACTGATAGAAAGAGAGAAAATACTAAAAAGATATTAACAGAATGGTGCAGGCATGCAGATGCAACCGTTCAGGAAACATAAATGTTTGCTGACTTTGAAGAGCGAATGTGAAATGATTAGTCCGGGGAAAATAATATGAAACATTAAGAAGATGGATGAGACAAATGAATGCTTACAAACATTTCCCGTTAGTCACGAATGGAACATTGATTAGGTGTGCAAGATGCGGATCATTTTGCGTCTTTGAGGAAAAATCTAAGTGTGTCCCGAGGGCCGTGACAAACAGACATTTAGACTAACAGGGAAATACATTTAATAAATAAATGACCCTAGACTTACAATCAGTAACAAGAGATCTCTCGACAACAGTAGGTAAAAGGGATGTCATTTTAGAAAGAAGAACAGATACAAATATTAAGAGTGAGGACGGGATACGAATAAAAAATACACACACAATTAAAAAAGATTGGAGATTTTCTATGGAAAAAATATAAATGGTAAAAAAGAGCGGGCGCAGAAAAGTAAGGTAACAAATACATAAGACACTATTGATATTTATTTGTGTGTACTTCCTTCTATCCCTAATTATCTGTCCTTTTATTAGTAATATTAGCCGTTTCCCTATAAGGAAACATTTAGCACTCATTGACCAAGCAGCCAGTGCTTGTTTCGTTTGAAATTTATAAAATATTTCTCTTAAATTTATTTTCAGAAAAATAAGTTTCTCAAATCCAGTAGCTGTTATCACTCTTTTCAGTATGAAGGCTTGTTTTCTAACCTTTTGCTTGAAGTATCGAATACCAAATGTTGGTTATTTCATTATATCTTTGAGAACAGGACATTTCTTCTGTTTTGGTTACGAGTGTAGAATGTTATCGTGCGTTTCACTTTTTCTTCCCATTTCAACAGATTCTCTATGTTGTTTGGATTCATTAATTTCATTCCGATTGCCTGAAGCATTAACTTTATTTTTTTTTTAAATATCTATTGTTTAGCATTCTTCTTCTTCTTCTTCTTCTTCTTCTTCTTCTTCTTCTTCTTCTTCTTCTTTCTTTCTTTCTTTCTTTCTTTCCTCAAGGACACATGGCCCAGTGGATAAAGACGTTGGTTAGATCCAGTGACAGGACCAAAAGCGTGTGAGTTCAGTACATGGTTAAGGCGGTAGATAACTTGGAGGTGAGGAATTAACAGGGAGATAACTGACATCCATTAGACATGGCACGTGGAACTAGAACAGTCTACCCCAGTGAACAAAATAAAGTGTTCAGTTTGACATTCCAACCACCTGAAGAAGGCCGGAGCGTACAACGGCCGAAACATTGTAATAAATATGGTAAAAAAGATGAGGACAATAGTCCGAATAATGTAAATAGTGTGCATAATACCTCATCTCAGAAATATAAACAGATTCTTTCTTTCTTGTATTAATCTTTTCAACTCAGTATTATCGTCTAACTGGTATATCCTTTCCTGTCTAGGTATGTGTTTCATCTAATGAAGATTTCATTCCTATATATTGATTTGGTAAATATTTAGTACAGTAGTAATGAGCACCCACTCACTTCCGAGCATCGGGATTGTCATCCTCTCTCCTTATTCTCTTTCTACCCTCTGATAGTGATGACTGAGATGGTTGTGTATACCCTGCCTACTCCTGAGTAGCAGGGCTCAGTAGAAGAGTATGGGGGAGGTAGAAGCGGTCCTACCCCTCCCCTCAATGGTCCCACGTCAGGAAAGCTGATTTGCAGCAACGGTTTCCCATGTTTCCGGGCCGACGTTGTCCTGTGTCAGGGAGCTTTTCAACTGATCATTTGCAAAGACGTTTTGGACTTCCCCGTAGCCTCTTGCCGCTGGTGAGTTCTCCAAACAGGATGTTACATGGGAATCGAGTGGGACGCTTTCTGGACTCGGGACCTGCGCAGTGGAAGCTATGTTGAATATGTAGCGACATAACTTTAGGTAAGGCGCCAAGACCACCAGAAAGCTGTAACACGAGGGGAAGTAGAAAAATCAGGCGTGGCTGACCACATATGGAGAGAGAAGGGAGATCAACACCCTCTGTCGTATCATGTTGAGATCATACACAAAGAACACCATTGGAAAATTCGTAAACTTAAGGAATTAGCACATATGCTAGGTCACAAAAATCTCCTGAGCCGACCAAGCATAGAAATGAATACAATATGGGAACCAGTAATAAGGAGTGCCAGAGAAAAGCAATGATAACAACAAAAATTGCAATATGAGCATTGGTAAAAAAGGTTGCTGAAGACATTAGGTTTATAATACCCAGAAATTTATACACAGATATCCTCAAGGACACATGGCACAGTGGATAAAGGCATTAGTTAGATGCAGCGAGAGGACCCAAAGAGTGTGAGTTCAATACCCGGTTAAGTCAGTGGAGAACTTTCAGAGGGAAATTAGCAGGAAATAACTGATAACATGGCACGTGGAACTAGAAATATCTACCCCGAAATAAAGGGTTCAGTTCGACATTCCAAACACCTGAAGAAGGCCGGTGCGTACAACGGCCGAAACATTGTAATAAAGATGAGGACAATAGTTCGAATAATGTAAATAATGTACATAATACCTCATCTCAGAAATATAGACAGATATTCAAAGTAGGATTGTATACTCCAACATCTGTTAGAATCTGCCTTAGCCAAGACTCCGAGATACTGAAGACAATAATCTTTTGGTTACATTATCTTGGCTATGCCATATCATCCAGTGCTTCGTGGGTCGTTCGAACCAATTGTCTAGAGTGGAATCTCATTTTGAAAAGATATTTAACAAAAGATCTCAATTTCTGTTGGGTGATATCATCTTACTATCAAAAGAGAAGATGCGTCATTCAAAAATAATTAGCATTAAAATCCACATTAAGACATAGTTTCCTTTTTTCTAGTAGACAAAATGTACTTAATCCTGTGTAGTCGATCACTTTTTCGGAAACAACACAATTGGGTCATCGTCTGATATCCCTCAGTCACAAACAACAATGTCGGCAACTATCAGTCTTTCAGACACACAGATGTAAGATACTATTACAATAACTAATGTTTACAGTTTTACCTCAATGCTATCTTTTCTCCTTTTCGCCAGTTCAATATAACTCATATCTCAAATGTGCAATGGCGTCAGTAACAAGTCGACGCATCTCTTGCAAACAGGCAACATCAAGGTCGGCTTTTTTGTAGTATTCGGAAAGTGAAATAAACCTGATACTGATTGGACGTTGATTTTTCATATTTCCATTTGGAGAATTTTAGCTTTGATGATAATGGCTCTGTCTTCAAAGACTAGAATACATCAACTGCGTCCTCTGCAGAGTATTAAGACGCTGCCAAGTACGAAACATAGGGTGGATGTTTGCAGATTCAATTATAAACCTGACCAATGTTTACCTATAGACTCGCCTATAAACGAAACCAATGTTTACATATGAATTTAAGTATAAATTCAATCAACGCTTACTAAGAAATTCAATTGTAAACGTGACCGATGTTTATTTACAGACTCAATTATAAACATGATTAATGATTACGCATAGCCTCACGTATAAACCAGTCCAGTATTTATAAATTCAAGTATAAAACGGACAATGTTTACCTGTATGGATACAAGGGTTAACTATTGACTCGCGTATAAACCAGACTACTTTTTACTTATAGACTTAAGTATAAATCGGACAATTTTTACATGTAGGCTCAAGTTTAATCGCATCACTGTTAAACTACAGACTCAGAAATAAAAAAAAACTAAAATAAACACAAACACGCGGGTTTCAACACTGAATAACCCAACCAGAATTAATATGTTGTAATTTCTACCAACCCAGCTGAATGTATCTCTTACGTACATAATTTGACTGGTCACACAAACCAACAATTAGGTGTGCATTTTAATTATTTTATCATATATTAAGTGATAGCGGTTAAATTTATTTGTATGTCATCCCAATAATATAAAGCTAAGGTTTCTAAACTTTCAAGTAACAGATATAGCAAATGTTTCAAAATTTAAAATGACTTTTGAAAATAACTACTTCTGTGTTCTCAAATATTAACAAAGTAATTAAAATGTATATTTTGCTGTGACTAAATTCAAATTGATGGTCATAAACTTTGATTATTTTCTTTTACGGGTCTGAACTCGAAGTTGGTTGGCGAAAGACTAAATATACGAAATGAAAGACAAGAACGGAAAAAGTGAAAGTTAAAACTAGAAAAAAAATAGAAAAGAAAACAGAAAAGAACAAATAGTAAATATGCATGACAAATTTAAACAGAAAAAAATTCGACAATCACAAATGCAATGTTTGTGTCATTTCAGACAAATTCACCTGTTCAGTAGGCATAACTTTATTCGAATGTTTCGACATTGAAAAATCTTTATTTTTTTTATTTTTTTTTTTTACAAATTTTTTCTTCCAATCGTCCTGATTTCTTTGCCATTGTTCACCTTCTTCATTATAACCTTTATTTTAGATTTATCAACCGATATTTGCTTTGATAGCATAGTTTCTTATCTGCTCATGGCTTCAGACAAGATTTTTATTTTTGGGAGATGCGCTATAATTTTCTCTCACAATTTCATAGTAATAGTGACATAAAATATTAGGATACAATATCAATGTTTTATTTTAGAAAATTCTAACATGAAATGGAAAGGCTACATATCAACATTTTGAAAATATATGAAACTAGATGGATAAATGATAGATTTCACAATCGACTGATACAAAGTTGTACACGCAAGACCAAAGATATCTTCTAGAAAATAAAAGTGTTATGAGATAGGAAAACATCTTTAGAAACAATGGAAAGAATGCTGAACTGTTATGTAACATCTAATGTCATATATTGCAGTAAGTATTGAACAATCTCTTCACAAATAGAAAAGAGACTCGATGCGAGAGAAATGTGGTAATATTAAGGAATTCTGAGCAAAGATGAAGTCTTAACGAAAAATAGGTTTTAAAAGGGAACGAATGTTAACAATCAGAAAGTTATTGTTGAAATTTCTGGGACAAATAGAAAAGAGGGCTCAGAGAATATGATACGCATGAGACATATTAAAAGCCAGAGACGCAGTAGTAAACAGTAATTTATTTAATGTGTTTGTGCTATTGGATGTCAGGACGGAGACAAATCAGTATGGTAAAGACAGGAAGGCGTGATTGAACAGGTGCTGAATGGACATAGCACATAAAACAAGAGGTCATATTTTGAGTCACTTCTTTCATTTTGTCTCAATGTTTACATAAAATCAGCCTTCACAAAAATGATTGACATTGTTCTATAAAAATGGATATCAATAGAACCTTCACTTTGTCTATTTTCATAATGAAAAACCGAAAAAAAAACATATTTTAATATAAGCCTTAATTGCCAAATATTGTAGTGGGACCAACTGCATAAATAAGAAAACAGAAACATTATTAATGAGTGTTGTTCACATTCACGACAACTGCTCAGCCCACGACAGCGAATTAATTTCATCAAATTTTATACGTCGGAGAAAGGAATTCAGTTATATTTTTTAGGATGCCTTGACGAAGCAGGGGGGGTAGTTTGAATTGATGACTGACAGTTATTGTGTGATGAACAATCTATACTCAGTACACCATAACGCTACACAGTCGTCTTCCTAAAGGAAATTTGGGTATTGGAGCATTATCAGAAACAATTGCAACCCGATTTTCCTTTCATGTACCACTTGATACAGTTTTATGACGATTTCATCTCGATAACTTGACTCAGCCGGACATTTTGAAAAGCTTTATTTTCCAGTCATACCGGAATTAACTATCTTAGAAGCTAGAGAAAACCCAATTTGTATATAAATTTTCATATGTAACTATGGAAATCCTGATGCGCTCACCGCTTTGTACCAAACTATATTTGGACTTGTCCGTCTCCAAATATTAGTGTTCCATACTTGGGCGAATAATACTAAGACAAATCTGTCAATCTTATGCTTCAGAGTTAATGGTTTCAGAGAGATCGGTGGCGTCAATTAGTGGCACACATTGATTTATATTCTTTGGTTATTAATCCAGTAATCCTAAACAAAACTAGCAGAGGCAAAGCGTTTCTGATAC